TTCCTGAAAGCCAAGCTATAGTGATTGTTATTTCTCTTCTGTGTCTAGCCACTCAGCAGGTCTGCCAGGCTCTGGGCTGGTACTGGGGGTTGTCTGTACAGAGTCCTATGATGTGAACTGAACCATCTGTGGGTCTCTCAGCCATGGATACCAGCACAGTATTTGGGATGTCTCCTGGATCCTGCAGGAACAATCTGCTTCCTTCAGAAGGTCTGTGGGTTCCTGATTTATTCCTTCAGTCATTCTGGAGCAAAAGTTCATGATGCGAGGCTCCACACGCTGCTGTGTCAGAGTGGGAGCTGCAATCTAGTCCTGCTTCCTGTCTGCCATGATCCTTTTCTTTTTCTACTCAGATCTCAGGGAGCTTTAAAGTTTTCAGTTACTATAGTTTATAACAATGTGATGTCATAACCAAATACTAATATTAAATATCTTCTTAGAAGTTGAGTGTATTATCTTATCTTGTTAGGATTTGCTAGGTTTGTGAGTTAGGATAAAAATGAAGTCTTGCTTCCTACGTTTAAAAAAGAAAAGCACAGAGGATTTAGGATATTACTGTGATGTATATAAAAATGGGGAAAGTAGTGGCCCCAACTACCCCATTAATTGGTAAGACCATGCCTGAGGCACAGTATTCATATATCATATGTTTCTTGTTCTGAAGCTATATTTTGAAAGCATTAATTTGTGTCATAAAACATAGGTTCTGAGGCAGAATATGTTTAGTTTACTATCAGGGCCTTTCTTTAAAGACTTTTGACTAAATTTAGTCTTCATGAATACGTTTTTGCAGTCTCTCAGTGTGGGTAGAAAATTAAAACCCCAATGCCTTAGGCCATTGTATGCCTTATTTCATCTCTGTAGATGATATGTACAATGTACATATATACTATGTACAATTCTTGGAAAAATTGAGAAAATATCAAGTCACTTTCAGTAAGAGACTTGTATTCTCTTACAGACCCCAGTTGAGAAAGACTGGTAGGAGCCAGGCTATGAACTGAATTCATGCTATGGATTTCTGTCACCCAGGCTGACTGCAGTGGCACGATCATGGCTCACTGTAGCCTTGCCCTTCTGGGCTCAAGCACTTCTCCCACCTCAGCCTCCTGAAGACCTGGGACTACAGGCACGTGTCACTTGCCTGGCTTTAAAAAAATTTTTTGTATAGTTGGGAGTCTCACTATGTTGCCCAGGCTGGTCTCAAACTCCTGGCCTCAAGCGATCTACCTGGCTTGGCCTCCCAAAGTGCTGGGATTACAGATGTGAACCACTGTGCCAAGCACGCAGTCCATGGGTTTCTTAATAGATGAATTTATTCCTTGGCCATTATTGACTTGAGACAAAATTAAGTGATGATTTAAGAATAAAAGATATCGGCCGGGCCCAGTGGCTCTTGCCAGCACTTTGGGAGGCTGAGGCAGGCAGATCATGAGGTCAGGAGTTTGAGACCACCTGACCAACATGACAAAACCCCGTCTCTATTAAAAATACAAAAATTAGCCGGGTGTGGTGACACACACCTGTAATCCCAGCTACTCAGGAGGCTGAGGCAGGAGAATCACTTGAACCCAGTAGGCAGAGGTTTCAGTGATCCGAGATTATGCCCCTCCATCCCAGCCTGGGCAACTCTGCCTCAAAAAAGAAACGAATAAAAGACATCACCTTTGAGATAATGGTTCTCAACTATAATCCTTGACCTGCTGTATCATCAGCAAACTTGCTTTAAATATAAATTCTCAAATCCCATCTCAGTGCCATCTGTTCTACTGAATGGAATATTGGTGTGAAGGGGATAAGGTGGTAGGGCTCGGCCAGTTTGTTTTTCAAGAAGCCCTCCAGGTAGTTTCAATATAGAATAAAGTTTGAGAATCTCTGCTCTATACTCTCCACTGATTCTTGCTTTCATTATTTTCTTCCAAATGCTCCAGGAAGTATGTATGTTATCTAGTGTTAGAAAAATCCAGATGTGATTCACTGAATCATCTTATTTCCATACATGGTCTTCTGAATTCATTCCCAGCAGGTAGTTGTAATCTGAAGTCAGCTAATTTAGGAGTTTATTTGTAAGTTGGATCATTTGACTTCTCTGTTTAAAATTTTCCGGTGTGATGTAGAGGGTCCAACTGGTTTTTCCCCAGCTGTCCTTATACCAGTTCTTTACTGATTTCCAGTGAAATCATGTCTGTTTTTAATACCTCATTTTTTTGTTTCTGATTTGTAATCTTAACTATTTTGCTCAAAGAATATGACTTGTATCAGGGGTCAGTAAACAGATTTGGTCACCCTGAGCCCAAGAATGGGTTTTACGCTTTTAAAGTATCATAAAGAGGAAAGAATATATGGTAGTGACTGCATCTGGCTTGCCAAACCTATTTTTTTTTTTTTTTTTTTTTTTTTTTTTTGAGAGATTCAAACTCTGTCATCCTGGCTGGAGTACAGTGGCGCAATGTCAGCTCACTGCTGTGTCCACCTCCTGGGTTCAAGGGATTCTCATGTGTCATCAGTCTCCTGAGTAGCTGGGATTACAGGCGCCTGCCACCATGCCTGGGTAATTTTTGTATTTTTAGTAGAGATAGGGTTTCGCCATGTTGGCCAGGTTGTTCTCAAACTCCTGACCTCAGCTGATCCGCCCACCTCGGCCTCCCAAATTTGGGGGATTAGGCATGAGCCACTGTGCCTGGCCTAAACCTAAATTTTTTACTACTTTCTTTTTGTATAAAAGTTTACTAACTTCTGACTTACACTTATTCTTTGTAATTTGTTGAGACTTGCTTTATGGCCCAGTATACATAGATGATTTTTGAAACTGTTCAAGTGTACTTTAGTAGAATATGCATTTTTTTAATCAAGTTCAGGTTTCTATATTCATTAAATCAAACTTAGTAATTGTACTCCTCAGGTTCTCTTTATGTTTATTAATTTTTTTTTATTTTGGAGGGAAAGTTGACTTGACCTGTCAATAATTGAGATCTTTAAACTTTTACTTTGATGTTAGACTTGTCATTTCTCCTTGAAGTTTATTTGTTTTATTTTGACGACCATCCTTGCAGTGCATAGAAATTCAGGACTTCTATGTCTTCTTAGTGAGCTTTATCTTCTCTTGTTATGTAGAGAGTTTTTTTTTTTTTTTTCTTTTTTAATCCCTCCCTAATACCTCTTGTTTTGAAGCCAATTTTGTCTGATCTGATATTTTTGATATAACCACCAGCTACATTTGGTTATTTGCGGGAAGATCTTATCCTATCCCATAACTTTCAGCCTATGCTGTCCCATGTTTCCAGTGTAGCCCTAGTGTTTACTTCTTTGTTGTTTTGTAGTTCATCCTGTCAGTCTTTTGAGAGGTAAGCTTAATTTGTATTTATTATGATTATTGATATATTTGGATTTGCTTTTATTTATCCTGCATTATCTGTACTTAGTCCATTTGTGACAGCATGCATGTGTTATTTCATCTAAGGTCTCTTCCAGGTCATCACTTTTATTTTTAGCTGTTGCTTAACCCATCTGTTGGTTGTTTTTAAATTTAATAAGTATATATTTTTATTTCTAAAAGTTATATTTTCAAATCAGCCTACTCATAGTTTATTATTCATTATTTTAAAAATTCTGTTGTAGTTATTATAGTTAGTTATTATCGATAGTTATTTTGTATCTGATTTTTCTAATATATCGGTCAGAAATTTTTCCAAGTATTACCCTTTCTGATAACTTCAAAAATACAGTAATCAAAAGAAACAGCAGGAGCAGAGAGTAGTCTGAGACATACTGTATGTCTTCCCTTTCCCAGTTCTTTCCTTACCACATTGGACATTTTGGCTTAGGTAATTCTTAGTTGTTGGGGAGCTGTCCTCTGCATTGTATGTTTAGTGGCATCACTGGCCTCTATCCACTAGAAGCCAGTAGTCCCCTTCCCCCCCCCTTATGGCTGTGACACCCAAAATATCTCAGATATTGCCAGATGTCCCACGTGGGGTAAAATCATTCCTAACAGATGTTTTAAAGACTGACATAGCTTATGTGACATTCTTCAGGGAGCTATGCCTTATAAATCTGTAGATAGTAGTTGTATTACAATAAGCAATCTTAAACTAGTACAGTCCTCCAAGAGTATTTCATAGTAATGGTAAATATTAATCTTTTTGCGTAGAAGTTGCTTAGTCATCACCCTGTTAAGAAGGAGATTAGACCAGGCCATCTGAATTCCCTTTTTCCCTATATGATCTTCCCCCTCATCAGCTGTTTTCTTTTCTGGCCTGTTGTCCAATCTGTTGCCATTTTCACCGTTTTTTCATTTTTCTTCCATTTATTCATTTAGCAGATAATTATTCTAGTTCTGTTTTCCATTTGCTGGGGAGATTAGTAAAATAGAAGTCTTTCTGTCATGAAGCTTACTTTTTATGTGGCGAAACAATGCAAACATTAGTAAATAAAGTGTCAAATATGACTTAGTGCTATAAAGAGAATTAACATTTGGGGCTTTGACAGGCAATGACTGGGTTGCCTGTTTTAGATGGGGTGGTCAGGAAAGGCTCCATCTTAGGAGATATCTTTTAAGCCAAGAGTTCAGTGTAAAGCCAGCTATACGAACATCAAGGGAAACCATTGCAAGCAGCAGTAACCACTGGAAAGCGGTGTAACTTGAAATCAGTAAGCATAAAACAAAATTAAAGAAAAAAAAGAACAAGTGGTTTCATCTCTTTCAATATTATTGGCAGTGGTAATACAGTGTTTGAGGCCTGTACATGGGAATCTACAGAAGACATTTTGAGGAAATGTTTGTTTCTTTTTCCTTTCTCCAACCATAGCTAATGCTTTATAAAAACCAAAAAAAAAACTTCATGGATAGAAAATAGGTCAGGAGAATTTTTCAACATTTATAACAATTGCTTTTTAACTATTTTTTTTTCTTTTTTTCCTCTTATATAGGTTAATTTGTTGAGTTTGATTACCTCTGCTACCTCTTCTGAAGAGATAAATATCATCTGGTTTTGTTTCAGTTTCAGGTTTCTTGTTGTATGGATCACTGATTGAATAATAGATGGCTTTACCTCGTCTCACAGGAGCCTTGCGTTCCTTTTCAAATGTCACCAAGCAAGATAATTATAATGAAGAAGTGGCTGACTTAAAGGTAGATTTGTTAAAGGTAGAAATGTTGAACATCATTATAAACATAGACTGTGGACAACTATTTGACATTGGTTTTTCCCCATTCTATGTGCTTAACATGGAAGTTTTATCTTCTTTGGTGTGAGACGAAGATGGAGAATGTGTATGCTGCTGTTTCCTATGAAATACGTTAGGCCCCTATAACCATATTGTCAAGGGGAATAATCAGAACTATGATAATTGAATCCTTTGTTAATGTTTCTGTTGTTGTTCAGCTCCCTATCATAGTTATTTTTGTAACTTGATCCTGTAATTTACCTCTGGATCACTTGAGTAGTTTTTAGGTCTCTGGCAAAATTCTTATAAAATGAACAAAAGCAGTGTCTGTACCTAATCATGAAAAATGTGAATATTAATCTCTTGAACTCAGGGGCTGATCTCCTAATTGACTTGTTTTGTCATTATAATTGGTAAGAAAGGCATTTAAGACTTAAGAAACATTGTCATTTTAAAAGCTATTTTATGACTAAAATTTCAGAAATATAGTAAGAAACAAAAATTTATGTGCTCTGTTTTGACATTTGCAGTAAAGGCTGACCCCTGCTTTACTAATTATGCTATGGAAAAGTTTCCTTATGTGAATTAAATTTATGATAAATAATGCTAATTTTACCCTTCCTACAAATATAGGTAAATCTCACTAGGGCAAAAATGGGCAATTATCACTTTGGAGGAACATTGATTGTGCCACTGCACTCCAGCCTAGGCAACAGCGAGACTCTGTCTTTAAAAAAAAAAAAAAAGAAAAAATAAAAAAAAAAAAAAGAAATTATTTATCTCTAAGTTGCTGAAATTTGCAAGAAATCACTCCAGCCTGGGTGATAGCTAGACTCTGTCTTAAAAAAAAAAAAAAAAAGGAAATTATCTCTAAGTTGCTGAAATTTGTAAGAAATATAATGACAGCTTTCATATTATAAATGTCACCAGGAAAGGATAAATGTTTTAGAATCTTAGCCATAGTGTTGTGAATTTTAAAGGCCTGAAGCTATATCAATTCTATGTATGAAGAAATGAACCATGTAATATCGTATATGAAATAACTGGCCCTTTTCTGTTTTTTGAAAAACATTCACTTTAATTGCTGCCTCCTTATTTGAATCTATTGTAGAATGGTAACATTGTTTCCTAGTAGGTTAAAATTTTATTGCTAAAAGTCCTTATGCAGCTGTTTTAACTAATAGTTTCACTCAAAGATCGATACTAGGAGGAAGAGATTTGTAACAGATTTTGGATAGTTTTCTTTTTCTCTAATGATACAAAATTTTGTTCGACAGGAAACAGTTTACCTTCTTGACAATAGTGGCTGTTTTACATTGTTCACAGCAGCTAAACAAGAGTATATTCTATAGTTAATTAATGTTGCTATCTTAAACTTGAATTATTTTCTCTCCTCACCTCCCCAAGGCCCTTTGCAAGTTATTCTGTATTAGAGATATAACAGAAGTTTTTAAAATTTAAAAGTGTATAAGGACGAAGAACTTATCCCATCTTATTTATTCCTGTAAACTTTTAAACATTTTTTCCTCCCTGAGGAAGGAAAGTAGTATATATGATGAGCTTCATTTTAATATAGCTTTTTATCTCAGAGGCTGTTCAATGTATACAAAAGTAAGGAGCCAAATAAGATAAACCTTAATGTGCTTATGACCCTATTGTAACAACTTAATTCATTTTATTGACAATTTTATTTCATCTCTGCCCTTGCCCATTCTCCCCCCACCCCCCCCCCCCCCGCAAACCCAAATTTTTTAGCCAAATTTGAAATTAAAAAAAAAAAAAAAATGGAGGCAGGGAATTATGCATTTTCATCTGACTAACCAGTAGTAAAATTACTGCTTTCTACCTGACCAACTACTTTTTTATTTGGTTAGAAAGCTTCATGAGTTTTCAAAGCCAGAGGTCTAAAATAAAATTTTCATTGTGCTCTGTGGTCAGTTCTTGAGAATGAAAAGATCTGTAGTCTTAAATATACAAAAGCCTCAGAAGAAACCAAGCTTGCCAACACCTTCATCTTGAACTTCTAGCTCCAGAACTGTCAGAAAATAAATTTCTGTTGTTTAAGTCAACTAATAGAAAAGAGTGTGTATAGAAAAGAATCTTTGAAATGCCTCACCTGGTCTAGGAACATGCTTAAGAAAGCAATGCCGACTTGAATATATTGAACCTATCATGAGAGTCTAATTTTCTATAAATGCCTTTCATCAAAAAGCATGACATAAAGCTCTTATTTATATACATTATATAAATGTAAATACAGTCTAAGCTATATTAAATATACACTAAGCTATATTAAAAACAAGCAGTTAGAAAAATGGCAAGACACGTGTGATGTTATCGGTAACAATAATAATAATGTTATTATCTGCGTGTTGAACTTTTTACTTTGGTCTGTGAAAAGATTTTAAGAGTATGCAGTGTAATTAAAACTGTAAAAAGGGCTGGGCGCAGTGGTTCATACCTGTAATCCCAGCACTTTGGGAGGCTGAGGTCAGGAGTTTGAGACCAGCCTGACCAACATGGTGAAAACTCATCTCTACTAAACACAAAAAAATTAGCTGGGTGTTGTGGCTCATGCTTGTAATCCCAGCTACTTGAGAGGCTGAGTCTGCAAAATCACTTGAACCCAGGAGGTGGAGGTTGCAGTGGGCTGTGGTTGAGCTGTTGTTGCACTCCAGCCTGAGTGACAGTGAGACCTGTCTCAAAAAAAAAAAAAAAAATTCTGTAAAACCAGCTTTTATTAAACATATCTTTTAAACAAATGAGAATCTACAAAAACCCATTTAAGTAATACTTGTTTTTTGAGTAGTCAGTTTGGATGTGAATAGATACAACTTTGAATTCTCGTGAGTAGTACCAAGTTGTATAACATAATGCAGAATATATGTAATCAGTGTTGGAGTTGAGAAGAACTTTAACCAGTATTTTTCTACTATATCATGATCTGTATTTCAGATAAAGCGATCTAAACTTCATGAACAAGTTTCAGATTTGGGCTTGACATGGAAGAAGATAATAACATTTTTGAATGAAAAACTGGAGAAGAGTAAAATGCAAAGTATAAATGAAGACTTAAAAGATATACTACATGCTGCAAAACAAATAGGTATAGTTTTCCTTTTTCTTTTTCATTTTTTTTTTTAATAGAACCAATAAAGTTCAAAAATAGATTTCTTGTAAGCAACATACTATATAAAGGAAAGCAAAACTTTCTAGGCATAAGTATTCATAATTATGAAAGACAGTCCTGGTCAGGCACGGTGGCTCATGCATGTAACTCCAGCACTTTGGGAGGCCGAGGCAGGCAAATTGCTTTAGTCCAGGAGTTCGAGACTAGCCTGGGCAACATGACAAAACCCCGTCTTTACTAAAAATACAAATGAAATAAGTTACTTGGACATGGTGATGTGAACTTGCAGTTCCAGCTACTCGGGAGGCTGATGTGGGAAAATCGCCTGAGCCTGGGAGGTTGAGACTATGGAGAGCTGAGATTGTGCCACTGCACTTCAGTCTGGGCGACTCCAGTGAGACCCTGTCTCAAAAAGAAAAAAAAAAAAAGACAGTCCTTATCTATCAATGAGCTTAGGATAGAGAGTGACAGGCTGGAGATAGGCAGAAGTAAAAAAACAAACAAACAAACAAACTACTGTCAAGCATGAAGGATTTGTAGGAATTTAGGGTTTGAAAACCTCTGTTGATTAAAATAAGGATAAAGTAAATTAAAATTTTAACGTAGCTCTAAGGAAGCTTAAAAGCCATGTAGCTCAGTCTCTTATTATAGATGCCTACCTAATGCACAGTCAATAACAGCACTTAAACTATACTTTGACTGCTTCTGTTTCCTTCACACACTAATATTCTTATCAATTGATTATATTTGAAGGAAATTGTAATTTGAAATTGTAATATTATGTACTCACTCAGGTTATCTTCCCAAAGTTAAAAACCAGACTAAATGAAACAAACAAATGACTGGTAAAACTCTGTGTATAATTAACACCAGGATAGTTCTAGATTTTCCAAATTCAGCAGATTTGTACCTATAAAAAGTCCAGACTTCTTCTCTAGTCTTATATGATCTGGCCTCCTCCTTTCTCTCTGACCTCACTTCATTCTTGCCTTCACTACTGTGTTTCAGACACATGGCTTTCTTCAACTTTCTCAAACCTGTCAAGCTGGTACCTGATTTGGGTCTTTGCACATATTGCTCTCTGTGTTGGGAATGCTCTGTTCTAAACTTAATGATGGTAGATTCCTTTTTGTCATTTTAAACTTACCTAAAAAATTATTTCCTTAATGGTTTTCACTCCAATAAGTTTTTACCCAGTCACTATCTCGTAACCATTCATAACATTTTCTCCATAACAAGTATCACACTATCTGACATTTTGCTTGTTTATTGCCACTCTGTTGTAAGTTTCATGAGAATAGGATCTTATTCTTGTTAAACTCTCCATTTTCAGTGCTTATACTAGAACCCAGAATATTTTAGGGTCTTAATAAAAATTCATTTGTTAAATAAATGAAAAAAAAATTCTCAGGTAATTCCTTGGTAGAGAGAGAATTTGGATCCTTACCTTACCATGTGCTTGCTGGTTGGCAGTTTTATTCCACATACTAGCTCTGGAGTGTGTTTGTTACATCTCATAAATGTGGAAACTTTCTTATGATCATCAAATCTTTAAATTTTTTTTCAAATGTGTTAACTTTTAAAAATATCTCACTTAACTATCATTGATTTATAACCTAGTATAATATTTAATAGAATGTCTTCATTGTTTTAAGTTGTGAAAGTATAAAATATCTCATATGTTTGTAAAGTTAGATCTTCAAAAGTTCAAGAACATTAGTAAAAATTGAGTGTGCTTAAGCCTAGGGGAAGTATAACACATTTTGATGAGGTTTGTAATAGCATTTGGCATAGAATTAGACTCTGTATTTTAAGAATACACAGGCAATTTGGTTGTTTGAAAAATAGTGGTGAAAATGCAGTCTTCCACATCACCTTGGCTAGGATCTTAACCCTTCTGGTCTTCATTGCATTTTCATTTGTAAGATGTTGGGGCCACCACAATCTGACTTAAGTACTTTTCAAAAACTATACAGAGTATCTTTCCTCTTCTTGAGTTACATTATAAAAATGCCTCATCATACTGGGCAAAAATGTAATGACATATTGAGCTTATTCAATCCATGACTAAGTTATTTCTTTACATAAATGATGTGGAATTTAAGATTAAAAAAAAAAAACAAAAACCTTTAGATTTTTTTCTCTGGATATCTCTGGCCACAAGTCAAAAAACATTGTTTTAAACACCAGTCATGAAATGTAATCCTAGGGATTGCACCTGTGATGAAATAGATATCTGATTTATACTTAGGGACTGAACACCTGACCTATATGTTTAAGGGATTATTTTGAGATTAATATCTCAAAACAATATTTCTCAGACAAATAAACTCTTAAGTTGGATGCAGGCAAATTCTAAATCTGTTGTACCCACTTTTAAATGCCATACTTAAGCTGAATAACTATTAACTTTAGTGAAACTTAAGTTGAATAGTAGTCAGCTGTCCTTTCTGGATGAAAATGCTGATACTGGAAATGTTATTAAACTACCAGCTTTGAAAAGATTAGTCTTGTGTGGAAAATGTCCCTGTCATTTCTCTTCTAACATAGATAATTTTGGTACAATTATATTAAAAAGGTTAAGCAAGAGAATAAAGAAAAAGATTATATTTACTTGAGTATAATATTATGAGACACTTAAGGCCATGCATATTGTTTAATCTGAACAATCGACATTAAGCTGGAGGAAATATCAGAGGACATCTTGTCTAATGCCTTCATTTTTGTATGTGAAGAAACAGGGTCCATTAAGGTTAAGTGAATCTTCTGGTTTGTATGTGTTGAAAGTAGGCCTAGATCCGAATTCTGAAATAGAAATATGATAGAAATCCTAGATTTTTACCTTTCCTTTCCTTGTAGTTAGAGGTCATGTCCTATTAAGTCTACTTTTCAGCTGTTCTTAAATTTACTCCGTATGTTTACCGTTGCCCCATTTCAACCTTTAATCACCCCATGCCTGAGCTGCTTCAGTAGTTATTTGCTTTAGCCTTCCTTTCTCATCCACCTTCTTCACTGTCACTACACTGATCTTTGTCAAAGCAGAGCTCATTTTTATTCCCAGCTTACCTTTTAGATCAAATTTTTTAGAATGACACGTAAAACTCCTTTATGAGTTGACACGATTTACGTTTTCGTCTGTTTCTCATTGAATCACATGCAAACTTTATTCCAACATATGCAGTGTTTACTGTCTGAATTTCCTGAACGGTGCATACTGTTTTCTCTCTCTCTTTTATGCGTTAAAATAGCTTTCTCCAATGTGTTCTATTGTTCATAATTCATTAGAGTACTTTTCTTGTTGTTTCATAATTATTTTCCTGTCTTCTCCCTTCACAGTAGTAAGGTCTCTGATAGACTGAATGCTTTGATGATACAGGGATTATAGGAATTATAGCATATTTCTATTCCATTGCCTAATGTGCTACAAGGGATCCAGTAGATGTTCAATAAACGAATGAAGTATTGAGAATCTAACTCGAAGTTCTCCATGGTCTTCACTACCTGTAATGCTGACCATGTCTTACAAGTGGCAATTTTTTGTCTTTTTGTTACTTTTAAGTATTCCTCCTCTTGCCCCCAACCCCACAATTTACATTTGTTATATTTTCATACCTTTTTACAATTTGATTCTCCCCTTAAGATTATTTTAATAATAAAATTTAGTTTTAGAGAGAAAATGTATAAATTATTTAAAAATAATATTCTTGGTTCTTATGTATTCAAATATTCATTGTAGGCATAGCTGTCTCCTTCATGAACGCTGAAAGATTATAGTCATATTAACCTGTATTTTGTTGGCAAAGACACTTTGTCATATTTTATGTGCTCTAAGTATAAACATTTTTGAAAATAAGTCAAGATTGAGACTAGCAGTAAGTAAAATGCATGTATCTATTACTTAAGAATTTAAATCATCATTTCATGAGGCGAGTAAGATATGCACAGTGTAGACAGAAACTAAGATGGGGGCCAAGAATAGTAGACAGGTGGGTAGAAAGATGCTACCATTCCCTAATCAGCTCTCTAACTGAGTATCTCTCCAAGAGCCAGAACAGAATGTTTGAAGTTGTCCGAGAGTGTATTGATCTAATGATTTCACTCTAATGTGGATACAGATCAAGACTCAGCCATAATGGAACTAGTTTCTTTCACTGTTCAACTTATTTTGTCACACAAAGACCTGTTTGTTTTGCTTTTCCTATTTCTAAGACCCGATTTATATGAGTTCTGACTTTTTAATGCATCTTACCTTTAATAACTTAGTCTTTAAGAAAAGTAAGACTCAAAAGGTAGGTTGGACGGGAGTGGCTTACAAAGTATGGTTTAGGGCATTTGTGAATCCATTATAGTTTGTGAGCTGTCAAGGAAGTAGGATTTTGCTTTTAAAAAATGAGGAGTCAAAATCCAGGGTAGAAAGCCATTTATAAAGCAGTGACTGGATAGGATCTATAAAAAGATATTAGCAGAATCTGGCAATTTTGCTTATGGACGTAGTGGTAGACATTAAGAATTATAAAGGCCTGTTAAAGGGATATAGCAGTATTTGTGACAGTTATTTTGAAAACTGCAGACTGCAAAAGAGTTCAAAGAGTTTTACTTCCCACAAGGTGGCAGACAGGATAATGTGGAAAAACCCTCTAGGGAGAATACCTAGAAAAGCTGCAGAATACAAAGTCTGTTTGACAGTATCAGAGAAGTACCAAAGCAGTGAAGATTTTGGGGGCCTAGATGTGGAAGCAGAAACTAATCCAGAAAATGTGATCCTGGCATTTGGGCCACTTTTTCCTAGAAGTGACTTGTCCATTCCAGAAGAGAAGGCTGGATGGAAAAGAGGAGGATGAGAAGATGAGCTTCTGACAGATTCAGTGGACTAAGATGACAAAAATGATTAAAATGGACAAAAGAGGAAATAGAAAATCTGAATATTTGACTATTAAAGGAATTGAATCTGTAATTAAAAACCTTAACTACAAAGA